GTCCTGGTTGCAGTAAAAACCGGGACTAAAGATGGTATTTAGTCCTAGTTTATAAGCAAGATGGGGCTATGTGATCTTTAGCCCCGGTTCACATGCTGTCAGGGGTTGTCAGGCCCCTCCGTTTGGATCTTTAGTCCCAATTTGTGTTAATAACCAGGACTAAAGATCACCGTGATCTTTAGTCCCGGTTGGTATCACAAACCGGGACTAAAATTTGATGTACCGTATATAATCCTTAGGACTTATCCTCTTAAACTCCTCATCTCCTATTCTTACTCTCTCTTATCTTTTTCTTTGCCTTATCCTCTCCTTCAACTCCTCATCTCCTTTTTTCTTTGCTGCATGCAGATCGAGCGAGCCGAGGTCCGCGGGGCCGGCGCGCGGAGGGCGGCGACCGCCGACACGCGGAGGGCCGCGGCCGGTGTGCGGAGGGCGGCGGCTGGCGCGCAGAGGCTGCGCCCGGCGGGGCCGTCGCACGAGGAGGGAAGCCGGGGAGGCGCCAGCGGGCGGGCGCCGGCTGCCGAGGCGGTGGGCGGCGCGTTCCCCAGGCGGCGGCGGAGCCCGAGGCAGCTGGGCGGGAGGCCGGCGAGGCGGCGGACGGCCGGCGCCTGATCTGTAAAATCTGTGCGATGTGGATTTTTTTCCTTAATATGTGCGATGTGTACAGCCGATCTGTTCGATGTGGATTTTTTTTTCCTGATCTGTGTGACATGTGATGTGTGGATGAATTTGTGGATAATTTTGTTATAGATTTTGGAGATGTTTTTGTGATTTTGTGAATGATTTCTGATGTATTTGGGGATATATAGAAAATGCAACTTGATGTATTTGGGGATTTTGTGAATGATTTGTGGTGTTCGAATGATTTGTGGATAATTTTATGAATGATTTGTGTATTTCGAAATCATACTAGCAGGAAAAAAAAGAAAAAAAAATATTACTCCTGTTGGAGTTACCAACCGGGACTATACCGTTCATTTTTAGTCCCGGTTATTTCAACCAGATCTAAAGATGGGTATCTTTAGTTTTAGATTCTTAGTCCTGGTTGCATAACCGGGATTACAGGAGTTGTAAACCGGGATTAAAAAGGATTTCTCCACCAGTGTTCTAACAGTTTAAAATCTAATACTAGTCAAAATTTGAACAGTAAAAGTAATAGCGACCAGTAAATACAAACATAAGGAGTACTATGCGAATTTTATTTTCTTGACTTGTACTCTAACAAGTCCATGTCAACGTCAAGTCAGTCAACCATATGGTTTACGTTGAGTATCTCTCAAGTCTGGACCCATACTCCTGTTCCTTCGCGCTAGCTGTACCCTGCATTATTTTCTCAGCACATTCAACCAGGCCACTCCATATTCAATTTTCTTTGCAGTGTACCAGCAAACTAGAACTACTCAGTCCAGGACTCCCCTGCAAAAATTGTTCAGCAGATAATTGAAATGATAGTACTCCGGCCTGGTTTTGTTCCCAATTTTTTCTTCAAACTTTCAACTTTTTCATCACATCAAAATTTTCCTACACACACAAACTTCTAAATTTTCCGTCACATCGTTTTAATTTCAATCAGACGTGAACTAAACACAACCCTATCAAATCCTTTTTTTTCTTGCTTTATGGTACCCTCTGTCCTAACTGAAATGATAGTACTCCCTCCATATCAAAATAGTTATAGTTACTTATGAAGGTTTTAAAGGATATTAAGGATTATGGTGCAAGATAAAACGACCCCTCATTATATTCTTAGAGTTAAGTAGTCGGTGTGATATAGATGGTTAGGGGTAGGATGAGAAAGTAAGATCATCTTTTATTTTGGGACATTTAACTTCTTACCATTTTTAAGATGTGGTAATTAATTATTTGCCACTCACTGTCTATGACATGTGGGCCCTCATGTGTATATGACATATGGGTTTAGTGGCAAATAATTTAGCACCACTTGTAAGAGTGGCAATATTAGGTAGCTATATTTAAAATAAATTTAAAATTTAAAGGTAATTATATTTTGGAATAGAGGGAGCAGTAGAATCTAAATCTAACCATTAGTTTCCATAATTATTTTAAAAAAATATTTGAAAGTTTTAAAGGAATAAATTAAACCATTAATCTATTATAGTGTAATCTATTTGAAAGTACTCCCTCCGTATTTTAGTGTATAACGCTATTGACTTTTTTGTCGACTTTTGGTCTTTCATCTTATCAAAAAAAATTATGTAATTATCATTTATTTCATTGTGGCTTGATTTATCATCAAATGTTCTTTAAGAATGGCATAAAAAATCAACGACGTCATATATTACAATACGGAGGGAGTATATTTGTTCTACAGTCATGCCTTCCAATTTTAATTTTAGTTATCCCTGTAAAAATTATAAACCCATTTTAATAGGTGCAGTATAATGGAACCAAAAACTATTGGATCCGATGCAATAGATAGATACTAGTAGCTCATAATCATCAATCCTAGATTAGCATGAAAACGCCCTTTTTTCCGAGATTGTAAAATAATGATGGTTGTTATACTAGCAAACCCACATGACACGCGTCAATGACAAAATGTTGTTGGTGCTCATTGACTTGACGAAAACTAAGCAACAAAATCGTAGTCAATCAAAACTAAGCAATTGCTCATAAATTTTGAAAAGAGAAGTGGTCTCTTATACAAAAGAAAATATAAAAAAATTGCATGATTTGGATAGGAATGCATGTGCAAAATAAAGGATTGTAAAATACAAGAAAAATAAAAAAAATGTCCTTTGAATATATCACAGGGATGTAAATTGTATCACCGATACATTAACTTGCCAAGTGGGTGCAATCTAGTGCATGAACTTGTAAAATACTCGTTTTGGTGCATAAAATTGTCTGGTGCGTGCGGAGGAAGGCGAAAAGGAAACTACATGGCTAATCTTATTATTCAGGGGCTGATTAATATACTATGTAAACTTATATCTAGGAAGGTTGCTATTAGACATACACCTTCTCAATAAAAAATAGAATATGATATAGTGATAGTAGAAAAAGATGAAAAAAACCGAACAATGATATTTAGGTCCTCGTTCGCACAAACTAGACAAGTTCATGTGCTGAAATGGGCATTTTATAAGTTTATGTACTAAATTGCACCATCCTAACAAGTTTGTGTACCACCAATGCAATTTACTCTACCACAGGAAAGACGTGAGACAAGGGAGAGAGATAGACTCACATAAATATCTTTTAAGAGGTTGGAGCTATTGTTAACTTTTCTCTAAAATTTTATAGGATTATCTGTTTTATAGGATTTCAAGAAAATGATAGGATTAATTAATCGTTTCAAAGACCTTTCCTTTGGAAATTTTCATATATAGATTAAAATCCTCTAAATTCTACTCCCTCCATTTCAAAATATTTGACACCGTTGACTTTTTAGCATATGTTTGACCATTTGTCTTATTAAAAAAATTTGTGAAATATGTAAAACTATATGTGTACATGAAAGTATATTTAACAATGAATCAAGTGATATGAAAAGAATAAATAATTATTTAAATTTTTTGAATAAGACGAATGGTCAAACACGTTATTATAAAGTCAAAGTGCCAAATATTTTGAAAACGGAGAGAGTACGTTTTTCTTACAAATTAACTGGTGCTAAATGGGAAGAAAAAAAGAGAGGCTGGTTGCACCGGCACGTGCGTGCAGTCCCCGACTAGTTTTTTGGTTAGTGCATGTCGAGTCAAGAAAGAAAACGAGAGCTGATCTGCAATTATCATGTGATGATACGACGACTAATTAATAAAATCTGCTAAACTATAAACTAGCAGTATTACATCGTGGGGTAGGTAGTTATATTGTTAAAACAAAACCAAATAAAAAAAAATCAGCGCCAGTATAATGCCCCCAAAAACCGCCAGTGCATTGACGGTTGACTAGCACTGCAATGATAGGTAAGGACTGTTAAAAAAAACGATGGGATTCAGCGTGATAATTATCACAAAAGGACCACAAGTAAATGGGGGTATTAGTGTGCAAGAAAGCAAGCAGGAAAAAAGGGGAATAATAATCAAGCAAGCAAACACCAAGAAATAAACAGACAAAACAGTAGTGGCCAGCCACAGTAGTGAAGGGTCAGCGTCGGAATGCGACGGAAATGACAGCCTCTCGTTGATCCGTCGCCACGCTTCTGATCCGTGTATGTATATTCCACCTGTCGCTGTTAACCCAATCCTTTTGATTATTTACATAAAAAAATCTTGGTTAATCACATCTAATAATCATATTAAAAAACAGTAAGTTTTGAACAGAACAATCCTTGATTAATTTTACCTAAAACGAAATCTCTTTCATTGTTCATTTATAACAAAAACGGTGGCTGAAATTCCTGAGCGTTCGAAATATCATTTTCGTAAAAGTGGTACCATTTTCAACCAATATACTCCATCTGTTTCATAATGTAAAACATTAGCTCACATTGATATAAATATTAATGAATCTAGACACACATATATATTTAGATTCATTAACATCTATATGAATGTAGACAATGCTAGAAAGTCTTACATTATGAAACGGAGAAAGTATAAATTTTGATTTTTTTTTTTACATATCTATCAGAACTATATTGTAATCGTCACTAAATAGTTAAGTTGATGTATATAGAAAAAATTCATGACCAACCAAAAACCGTTCCCATAAAAAATAATATACTGTTTCCGACCATGTTCTACTGTTTTCACCCTTATACTAGCAATGCAAGTACAGACAACAAAACACAATCCTGTTTGGGTTCCTCCTAAGAGAGCATTTAATCCTTGTTTAAATAGGCACTGCTGTTTCTAAATTAACCCCTTTTCACACGCTGGTTTCGGCTCAGCTCCTCCCAAGCAGTGTAATAATATCTTAATAACCTTAACACGCAATTAAGCAACAACTATTTGCATGTGTTTCTCGCTCTATAGGCTGGGGTAATGATCTGCCTCTCTATATCTATCCCTGTCCATCTCTCTCTTACGTCTTCGGGGTCGTCGTCTTCTTCTTCCTCCTCTCGCTAGCTACCTGCCGTTTTCATTTCCCTACCATACGTTGGGGTTTTCTCCGGCTGCTCCTCCGTGTGGCCAGTTGTCCTCATCTTCCTCCTCCTCTCTCCTTGTTGCCGCGAAGAGGATAGATAACCCATAGTCCCGTACGCTTCTCTTTCTCTCTCTCTCTCTCTCTCTTTCCTCTCCACTTTGAATCAATCAAAACGGAGAAGAAGAAGAAGAAGAAGAAGAAGAAGAAGAAGAAGACATCAAGAACACGTGGAGCAGAAGCTTCTCTGCCGGCTTCTATCGTAGCTCTCAAGGTTACCACCCTCCCTGCTGACACCTCTGCATGTTTTGCTTTGCTCTGAATATTCCGGATTTGCTTTAGTTCTTTTCTAGAGTCCGTCTTGTGCTTCTGCGTGGCTGATTTAGTCTGTTTTTGGGTGAATTTAATCATATTCTGTTTTTGTACCCGAGAGAAGTTTTGGTATGTTTGTCTTGGCTTTTTCTTCACCCCCCTCTTTTGTTTTGAAATTTGTATTAGTTATTTTTGTTGAACGGATGAAAGTTATTAGTTAGGTAACTAGGTAAGGGAGGAAGAATTCTTAGATTGTTTACTATGAGGGCTGCAGATTTGTTTATGGTACTCTGAGTTGAGGAAGGGAGATGAAATTTCAGTTCCTATAAAACCGTCCAAAGTTCAACCAAGGAGGCACAAAAATGTGAAAACAGATCCTATTTTCTCTGTTGAGATCTCCAATTTAATTTCATTTGGTCCTTGCTCCATCTATTTAATGAAGTGCCTGAACTTCCTAGAGAATAGAGACTATCACATGAATAAACATGATTTTGATATCTGATGTATGTATGGATGGATGCAACATCATGGAGCACTTCACTTAACTCCAATGGTGACACCCTCCCCCATCTCTTAGCCATCACCTGCCAACCTTTTCCAATAAAGGTGCAAGAAATGGTCCATGCTCCATGGTGTCCATCCATCAAAGTTTCTCTTACTTTTTTTTCTCCATTCTGAGCTCATGCCCATTTGTGCTTTTAATTGAACAATTCAAATGCTACCTTTCAGACCTGAGAATCCTGTTTCTTCATTTATGTCATCTGACCACATATCACTGTTAATCAAAGCGTTTTCCAGGAAGCTAATTAGGCTGTAGTAATAGTAAACAGGCATCGTATTCATACCGGCTTATGCTTCTTATTTTCTTGTTTTAATAAAAATTGATGTTTCTGTTATGTTATAATAATATTTTTGATCAATTGTTTATGTGGTTACAATGGATGTCCCAATCAGAAAAGAGGGTGGCCGGTGGCCTCTCACTTTCCCTACCCCTCACATCTGGTCTACCAAATGCTGCTGAGGGTTTACTTGTAACTTATTATTTCAGCACATTTTATACGCATGCATGCAGCTATCTGTGGATTGAATTTAATATGTGTTTAGAGTCTAAATGTTGATTGATGACTATGTGTGCATCAACATGTCATCATCTGGGTATAATTGAATTTTTTAAAGATACTTCTATTGTAGTAAAGATACTTGTAGGATGTAATTAATAGAGATTTCAAGCGTACACGTATGTAGCAACCCTCCAAAGATTTGAAATTGAGGCAGAATACTCCTATCATGATAGATAGCTTCCATCTGTAAAGATGTAAATTCCAGACAGGGAGTTAAAAACTGATATCCAGCTGATGTGAATACAAAGATCTGCAGAAAGGAGACATACTTTTTCTTCTTTATCCTTTCATGTTGTTGTCAACACTTTTCTTGTTGAACATTCTGTGCGGGATATGCTTCAAACAACCTGATGATTCCTACTACCAATCTTATGATTCCTTGGGAAAAAGTAAATCTTGTGGGCATTCGATATCCCAACAAAACTTTCCCAACCAACTTTAGCTGGCACAACTTTCTTCTGCAATAACCTTCTTTTGTTTTTTCATCTCTTGTTGCAACCAAGAACATTTGTCAAAGTGGTAGTTACGCTGCCAGCTACCTCTCTGGTTTCAGCAATGGCAGGTTTCTAAATACATGTTCTTGTTCTAATTTCAGGATAAAGAAAATCTGCTGCAGAGGTACAAGATCTAGTGGCAGAACATGATGAGCAATCTTAAGCTTGGGGTGGAGGTTACCAGTGCTCATGACCTCCTACCAAAAGAGCAGGGCACATGCAACCCCTATGTCGAGATCGAATTCGATGACCAGAAGTTCCGCACAGCCATCAAAGAGAGGGATATCAACCCTGTCTGGAACGAGCAGTTCTACTTCAACATATCTGATCCATCCCGCCTCACTGAGAAAGACCTCGAGGCGTATGTGTACCACGCAAACCGCGCCAGCAATTCCAAGACTTGCCTTGGCAAGGTTCGGATCTCCGGTACATCCTTTGTCAGCCACTCAGATGCCACACCTCTTCACTACCCCCTGGAGAAGCGCACGATCTTATCCCGTGCTCGTGGTGAGCTCGGTCTCAGGGTGTTCCTTACAGATGATCCATCAGTCAGAGTGTCCGCTCCTGGTCAGGAGTTCGACTTCATAAGCACGCCTACGACTGCCCAAGAGCAGGTAGCCGCCAATGCCATTCCAAATCCTTTCCAGGAGACCAGAGCAGATCAAGTGAGGCAATTCCAACACTTACCAAAAGAACAGCACCAGCACCGTCCGCAGCCAATGACTGCGCAGCCATACTACCCTGAAAGTTCATACGGACAACAGCAACAGAAAACCTACTCTGCTGTCGGGAACAAAGCTGAAGGTCCTCCACCTCCAGTCATGAGGATGTATGCTCAAGGTCCACAGCAGCAGCCTGTAGAATTCCAGCTGAAGGAAACAAGCCCAACACTTGGTGGCGGACGTGTTATTGGCGGCCGGGTGATCCCCGGTGAAAAGGCAGGGGCATACGACCTTGTTGAGAAGATGCAGTACCTATTTGTGCGTGTGGTTAAGGCCCGTGATCTGCCCCACATGGACATCACTGGGAGTCTTGATCCTTATGTTGAGGTGCACCTCGGAAACTACAAAATGAAGACAAGGCACTTTGAGAAGAACCAGAGGCCTGAGTGGGATGAGGTGTTTGCTTTCCCTAGGGAAGTAATGCAGTCAACGTCACTTGAAGTTATTGTGAAGGATAAGGACTTCATTCGGGATGATTATGTTGGCCGGGTGTCAATAGATCTAAATGAGGTACCACTAAGGGTCCCTCCTGACAGCCCATTGGCACCAGAGTGGTATCGACTTGTGGGGAAGGAAGGGCACAGGGATAAAGGGGAGCTGATGCTCGCTGTCTGGTATGGAACTCAAGCAGATGAGTGCTTCCCAAGTGCCATCCACGCAGGATCAGAACCAATTGATTCCCATCTTCACAACTACATCCGTGGGAAGGTCTACCCTGTACCCAGAATGTGGTATGTGAGGGTCAATGTAATTGGGGCACAGGATATATTTCCAATGGAGAACCACATACCTGATGTATTTGTTAAGGTGAGGCTGGGCCACCAAATGCTGAAGACAAGGCCAGCTCGCTCACCAACCAGAAACTTCATGTGGAATGAGGAGATGATGTTTGTCGCGGCAGAGCCTTTCGAGGAGGACTTGATCATACAAATAGAGGATCGAGTTGCTCAGAACAAGGATGAAGTGATTGGTGAAACTATGATACCTCTCGCAAGGCTTCCAAGGAGGGCTGACCATAAGCCAGTGCTGCCAGCATGGTTTGATCTCAGAAGGCCAGGACTGATTGATCTGAACCAACTAAAGGAAGATAAATTCTATGCAAAGGTGCAACTTCGTATTTGCCTTGAAGGTGGTTACCATGTGCTCGATGAGTCCACACAGTACTGTAGCGATCTCCGGCCAACAATGAAGCAGCTGTGGAAACCACCAATCGGTCTGCTTGAAGTTGGCATTCTAAGTGCAAATGGGCTCAATCCAACAAAGACCAAGCATGAGCGGGGGTCATGCGATGCATATTGTGTTGCCAAGTATGGTCAGAAATGGGTGCGGACACGTACTATTGTTGACAACTTGAACCCTAGATTCAATGAACAGTACACATGGGATGTCTTCGACCATGGAACAGTGCTCACCATTGGTTTATTTGACAACTGCCACATATCTGCAGACAGCAACCACAGTAGTTCCCCCGGCCATATGGACAAGCCCATCGGGAAAGTGCGAATTCGGCTTTCAACTCTTGAGACTGGGAGGGTGTACACACACACGTATCCATTACTTGTCCTCCACCCATCAGGAGTTAAGAAAATGGGAGAACTCCACCTGGCCATCAGGTTCACAGCCACATCCCTTCTCAATGTGCTCTTCACATATTCTCGGCCCCTCTTGCCCAAGATGCATTACGCGCAACCACTGTCAATAGTGCAGCAGGAAATGCTCCGCCACCAAGCTGTGCAACTTGTCGCACAGCGTCTAGGGCGCATGGAGCCACCAGTTCGCAGGGAAGTTGTTGAGTTCATGTCAGATGCCCGCTCACACCTGTGGAGCATGCGGCGAAGCAAGGCTAACTTCTTCCGTCTTATGCAAGTCTTCTCCGGATTCATTGCTGCAGGAAAGTGGTTTGGCGACGTTTGTCAGTGGAAAAACCCAGTCACAACAGTTTTAGTTCATGTGCTATTTATCATGCTTGTCTTCTACCCAGACCTTATCCTCCCAACAATCTTCCTCTACATGTTCTTGATAGGATTGTGGAATTACCGGTTCCGGCCGCGTTTCCCACCTCATATGAACACAAGGATATCTCATGCCGATATGACAAACCCAGATGAGCTTGATGAAGAATTTGATACATTCCCAACATCAAAGAGTCCAGATCTGGTTAGGATGAGGTATGACAGGCTACGGCATGTTGCTGGGAGGATACAGACAGTTGTTGGGGACATTGCAACTCAAGGAGAGAGGCTGCAGTCGCTGCTCAGCTGGAGGGATCCAAGGGCAACATCTATGTTCCTATTGTTTTGCCTGCTTACTGCAGTTATCTTGTATGTGACACCATTCCAAGTGATTGCACTCTGCCTTGGTTTCTTCTGGATGAGGCACCCACGGTTTCGTCATAAGGTTCCATCGGCACCTGTGAACTTCTTCAGGAGGCTACCTGCAAAGACAGATTCTTTGCTATAAATATTTTCAGAGATCAATATCCAATTGTGTATTTATTTTTTGTTTTTCAGTATATTGTTGTATGATAGCATTAAGGGAAATACATTAATATTTGTAATTGTTGCTTCATCTGAGAGGATAAAATAAGTCCAGTTCAACAGATAATTTTCTTGACTTGATATTGAAATTCAAATTGCATACTATGAGTAGCTTACAAGAATCATTATCAACAGTAGTTTGTCCAATTGAATCAACATTGGCACAATCAAGGAGTACCGAATTTGATACGTCTGAGGAATCTATCCTATGTTCAATAAAAATTAATACTCATGCTTGAATAAATTCTCTTTCAAATAAATAGCCGTGCTTAAATAAAGTCTCTTTCAAATAAATAGCCGTGCTTAAATCTGAGCATAAAAATCTGAATGTATTACGAGCATGAGAATCAGTACCTACTGCCTATGAAAAATCTGGAGATTCATTCTGTGCTCTTCATTTGAAGCAGCACCTTTACCCTCCTAGGATCTGAAGAACCAAAAAAATATATGGCATCAACCAACATATTGGAGAGCAACAATAGTGATGGAATTACAAGGCTGCCTGCAAACTAGTGGTAGCTATGATTCACATTTTTTAACATACTCAAGTCATGTTAAGTAAAAGAATAAAATAAAAATGTAAAAATCAACCATAGCAATTAGGAGCAGATAAAACACTATACAAGCCTTACAAATTTGAGAGTAGCACAGACCTTCATCTTTTCTGGCTCCATCATGCAATCACATGGAATCTGCTTAAGTACAAACATAAGCATGAAGAGCAAAAAATAGCATGAAAAGGTACTATGTGCACGTCCAATAAGTGTCCATGATAAGATAACACTCTTTAAGTTCCCTTCATAATGCAACTAGCGTAGCTATTGAGTGCAGACCTATTCATATGAGAATATTTAAACTTTAAAATAAGTTGACCGAACAAACAACACGTCAAGAAATTGTATATGTGTTAACACAATCAAGTGATCACATAGGATAGATCAAATGATGGCTAAACGGAGACAGGGTAATAGTAGAACAAACAAACAAACAAACAATAAAAAGGATCTTTATTGCTTTCTTTTGAATGGAGTTAGAACAAAGTGATGAAGATAGTCTTTATAGCCAATTTACAGATAATGATATTATGTCACCATGGGTTGAATTGAATAACCCACTATACAAATACGGAGCTCATAAGCACACATATAGAAGAGGAAATGAAGTGAAACACTGGATGTAGTATTTTATATTGCCACACAAGGTAAATCTTCTCCTTTGCTGGTGTGTGCCATTTCAGATTATAGCATTTGCTGTCTTGGAGCGCGAGTTATTATGTATAATTGCTGAAACAATGTCATTACATGTTCCTGCAGTACATGATTTATAAAAGAATCAGTACATAACACAACATACCAGAATATAAACTATCAGTATGCAGATATACATAATAAATATATATTTCGGGTAGTCAATTCATGAGGCCATCAGGCCATGAATGAACACTCTCTGTTAACAATTAATTTATCTCTTTTTAATAAAGCTCGTGTTTCCCCAACAGCTAATAATGGTGCATTTATAAAAGAGATGTAGTAACAAGGGGTCCATCATCAGATAGGCCACATGTGGAGTAGCATGTCCATGCTTTGAAACCAAATTGCAGAAAATCTAAAAACCATTTCTAGCTGTTAACTTTTTGTGAAAGCATTAAACACTTACTGCACATATAAAAAACTAAAAAAGAATTAAAAGCATATGACCCCAAAAATCATATAGCAGTGGTAGTTACCTTGCATTAGCTACTGCCTACTGGATAACAGCAACTGACTAGGGGAGGCGGAGCAACTGATTGACAGCCAAGTCTAGTGAATCAACATTCTTCCGTAAAATCTTTCTTTTACAAATATTAAGGCTTACAAAATGAATAACAGAATATACTTCAGAACTAATAAAACTGCACAGCAAAATGGTGTTTGATTAATTATATGACATAGATCCAGGAGAACAAATTTATAAAAACTAACAAAGGATACAGTTGCATGGCTAGGCTTTCCAGACCTCTCATTTCCTCATTCAACCTGCAATATAGGTCATTAAAATAATGTATGAAGGAACTGAAAGCAAAATTACTATTTCATATATAAACAGTCCACAGTTTCAAGGATGAATGCTTTTACAGTTACAGATGAAACAGGAAAGGGAACACCCATACAATAAGCTATAAAATCACTACAATTAGCCCATCTACATTCATAGAGAAAAAATAGATGTAGCAGAAAACGGAAAGATGACGAAGATTAGCTGAAAGTGATCACCTCAAGCACGAATTGATGTACTTATTTCCTTTCGAAGAAGCTTCGAGTGCTGCAGGGACAGAGTAAAAAGGTAAAAATCGCCACCTGGTCGAATCTAATCATTCTTTTTTATCCAGAAAAATAAAGCAACCAACCAACGATACAATCAACATTAGGACACCCCAACTGTACAAAGAGAAAATATGACAGTCCAATGCGCAAGCAAACCTGGCGAAATGATCGAATTACCAACTACAATATCAAAATAAAGGGCACCATGTCCGGATGCAAACTACTACCATACAAGAATTAGCATTCAGAGGTAAATGTCGCACACTCTTACAGCCTTACCCCCCTATAACATAATTTTTCCCCCCAATCGTTTACCCTTATGATGAAATCGAGAGAAATTTGCAGATTCGTAAGCAAACATCCTCACCGGATTCTTGGAGGCGGCCGACGACGTCTCCCAGGCACTCCATGTTCTCCGCCGACGTCGAGGTGACCTTTTTTTTTAAAATTCAATTTTGCGGCAAGAGGGTTAGGCTACAATATATCAGTGAGCGAAGCGAACGAGCAGCAAACGAAGCGAGGCGGAGAAATGGGAGAAGCGAGCGAAGGGTGGAGGGTGGAAGAAGCCGCGGGAGCTTAGTCCAGTTACGCGTGCGTGAGTGCGTACGTACGTTGGCGAGGGCGACGCGGAGGGAGGCGAAGAGGGAGGCGTAGCTGTCGGAGATGGCGGCGACGTCCCGCTCCACCGCCTCCATCGCCGCCGCCAGCTCCCTCGGCCCCGGAGGAGGCGCCGCGGCGGCCGGAGAAGGCGCGGAGGAGGGGGAGGGGGAGGGGTCCTCCGGCGGATCGGGAAAGGCGGCGGCGGCGGCGGGTTCTTCCATCTTGGGTTGGGCTTACCGTGCCGTGTGGGCAGGCCGTGTCGTGGAACAGAAGGGGGATGGGAGAGTGAGGTGATTTTCCTTTTCCTTTTTTGTTAATTAGATACTCCTATATGCCATTAGAAATTAGGTGGTTTCAAAATATGCTATTACTATTTGCATATCTATAATGATGCCACTAAGATAGTATTTTGTATGTATTGGATGAAAATGTCCCCATCTTCTACCTCTGTCTTTCCTCATTCTCTCCTCTTTCTCTGCTTATGCTCCTCTCAGACCCAAATCTCGGCGCTGACAATGCCTCCCCGCTGCTCTCTGATTGCACTGGTGAAGTTGTTCCAGTTAAGGTCGAACTCGGTCCACGCCAGGAGCGCCATGAAGTTGAGCATGTCAAGACTACCACCGAGCCCCAACCCCCGGATCTACAGTTTCGCATAAGGCACCATGAGGAAACCTAGCGCAGCGACCATGATGAGGAGCACGACCGTGTCGATCGCGGCCATCAATGAGTAGTCGTAGAACGCCGTGATATAAAAATATAAATAAAAACTACATCCAAAATCTAGAAACCAATGATAGACGTGAGAGAGGATGACAGAAAAACCGACGGGAGTGGTATGGTTCTAATTTTAGAACTTTTCAGTGGCATGTAGCCGATACGACGAATAGTAGTGGTATTTTTTAAATTTAGCAAAGTTGCAGTGGCATGGATTTAATTAACCCTTAAATTTTTACCCTACCTTCAATGGCTCCCACTAAGATCCTATTGTCGCCATGGCTATCGCTATCGTCGTGGTCAACACATACCATAACCTTCTTCCAACAACATTGAAATGGAACCCTTGTGTCCGAGAACGTGTGAGGCATCCTTGTTCTTGTTTTCCCTACCTTCTCTCCTCTATGTATATGTTTCATCAAGAAGAAAGAGCACAATTCAAGGCTAGTACTGAGCACTTGTGTTTCAGTCCAAGGACATGCCACATAGTCAAGCCGAAAGAGGCTTATACCAGTGATACAATCCTTTCGGAGGTCCATGGATACAATCACAAAAGAGGAAATCACATCGTAATAAAAGACACGGGACTTTGAACTGTTTCCTTCACATACAAATTCCCTCATCTCCTTTTCTCTGTCCTCATAAGGAGATTCCATCGAGCACATACCACACCAATCAAAATGTTACCTAAAGAGGAAGAAGGCAAAGGGAAAATACAAAGAACTTGCTAGGAGGCCTCTGCGGCAGTGGAGATTTGGCGTGCCATGATAAATTCATCCCAAATTATAAATCATTCTCTAAAATAAATAATAGAATTTATTAAAATCCTAAAAAATATAACAAACAATAAAACAAGAAAAGTTCGAATGTATTTTTCTTAAATTCTCCATAGCCTAAAATGAACCCTAAAATTTTGCTTCAATTTTCATAGGACTATAAATAATTCTAATCAACATAACCAATTTTTAGAGTTTTATAAAAAGAAAAATATAAAATAATTCTGTCTCTCCTTTGGGCCTTTTTAAGCCCAAAATTCTCCCCCCTCTCCCTTCCCAGCCCAAAGTCCCCTTCCCGTCCCTCTATTTTTCTTCCTCCCTCCTCGGGCCAACTCCCTGTTGATATTTCTTAACAACATTAATAGAAATATAATTCAAAGCAATGACACCGAAATATTCTTGGTAAATTTATGGTCACAGATATAATCCGCAATCGCACGTATATACCATTGTAGCATTTCATCCATGAGTAATCCAAGGTATCATATTTATTTAATCCCAATGGAACATATGATAAGAGAGTACTATGCTAATAATTCATATATTACTTGTATAGATCAAAATCTATGTTGGGGTTAATTAATTCGTGAGTATGATAAGGGTGACACACAGAAGAAAGAACTAAGAACTACTCTGCCAAAATATAATCTAGGCTAAGTGGAGGATGAATAAAAAAAAGAATCGTTCATATACTTCTAATATATAGTTGTCAGTAGTTTACACTTGTTAGTATACAATCATGTAGCCAATACCCCCTAACTATGTCCTCCTGGTGTTTCGAGAGACCACCTCTGATACGGTGCGCTGCTGTAAATTGTGTTATGCCGAGGGTACTGTCAGGCATATCCTCCGGTGCCAAGCCGATGCGGGTGCAAGTTCCTACCCTGGAGTGCCCGATAACCCTCGCTTATGGCCCAGGATTCGGGGGTCGACTTCTTGTCTTAGAACTACTCCCACACAGTTCGTGTGATGAACGGGAAGGTCCCAAATGGCTCCAGAGTAGCCGGGTTGAGGACGTACTCACTGACCATCCTGGACTTAAAGTTTTTCCAAGAATTTCCCATATTCTTGAAAGCCGCCCTCTTGAGCCTATCCTCATCGGCTGCAAGATAGTCGAAGCTCTCCTTGAATTTTAGCTAAGCAGCGTTCTTCTCGGCTTCGGGTACTAGGTTGATGTCATCCTCCAAAATGATGAAGGTCTCCCTCGCTATGACCCCGCATATCAACTTGTACCTCTTCAGAACATTTGGGGGACTTATCAACACTCCTAGGTGGTTCACCTCTATTATGGTGTACCGTTCCTTAGGGATTTAATTTGTTCCCTATCCTAGGGGTCCGTGTCCTTGTGGACCCTCTAGTTGTCATCAATATTGGTTCGCCTTGCTGAGGCATCGTCTAAATAACTTACAAAATCACAAAATTAATTAAATTAGTAACTCACATCACAAATTTCATACATTTGCATTAAACCCCTAAAATACCCTAAACATACATATTTCCTATTAAAGTTCCTTAATTATCAAAAATAATAGAATAAGAAGTGCTCTGGGTGCCAAGGTGTCGTGGTCGGTTCCGTCCAAGCACTAACCCGACCAAACCAACTTGGCACCCAAAGAACCTCGTATTTTGTGATGGTTTGATAACCTAGGTACTAAATCCTAAAATCACTATGATCCTCAAATTGTGTTATTATTTGATAACCAAGGAACTAAATCCATACATAAATGAATAATTATCAAAAAAATGACAGAATACGAGGTGCGCTGGGTCCGAAGGTGTCTTAATCAGTTCTGTGAATGCACTAACTCGATAAAACCAAATTCGGACCCTATGCACCTTGTATTATGTGATAATTTGATAACCTACGTACTATCTACACTAAAATCCATCATCCATACATATATATTCACTAATTCACAAATATATCCTAATACTTCACTAATTCATATATATAAAAATATCCTAATAATTCACTAAACATATCCTAATAATTCACCAATTCACAAACATATCCTAATAATTCACTAAATCACCTTAACATCAATAAAATACCCTAGATTCACTAATTCAAAAAATATCCTAATAATTCACTAATTCAAAAAATATACTAATAATTCACTAATTCACAAACATATCCTAATAATTCACTAATTCACAACAATTTCACTAAGTACCATCACACACAAACATCTCAAATATATTTCACTAATTCAAAAAAAATCCTACTAATTCAAAAACATATCCTAAAAATCCTACTAATTCACAAAAATTTCTAACCAGCGGAGGAGGAGGTGAGGCGGTGGGCGTGCTCGGGGACGGCGGGGGACGTCGATGCGGTGGTGGCAAGGACGGGGGCAAGGACGGTGTGGAGGAGGTCGACGGCGGCCGACGCTGGCTTGGGGTTGGCGCCGGGCTCGGTGGACGACGGTGTTGGGCTCGGGGATGGCAGCGGGCTCCCAGAGGGCGGCGCCGCTAGGGTTCAGAGAGTGGCAGAGCTTAGAAAAATTTTCGATCTAGATCTGAGTGAGAGTGAACCCTAGTCTTTATCTTCCTGATTTTGTGCACCACTTCCTGATTCATGCTCATGATCTTCATCTTCTTGATTTTGTGCACCACTTCCTGATTCTTGCTCTCTATGCTTCACCCAACATGTGTAGTCCTCCATGAAACCTCTTTGTATCAGATAAGCGTGTACGTCCACAGTCCACTCTGCTATCAAATATATTCTCATGTTTGTAATCTGCACATGTACAACACATGTAATCGCTATTTCTTGTTTTCCTATCCTCCTCCGCGACGTTAATAATATCCAATACACCATTTCTATACTCCTTGGTATGACGTCATACAGTTTTTCCCATACATCCAACTTTGGTCCATCCCTGAGCTGAAAAAAGTGGAAAAGTATTATATATAAATTTTGCAGGTAAGTATTTACTAAATTTATGAGAATTGACTACTATTTTTCAATTCCATTTGCAATTTATGATTTTCTTGGAAAACAGAGACAAAAATCGGCCCGCTCACACTCCCATCAAAATAGTGAGAAGTGGGATAACCATTACACTAGGTAGTTCGGGTATTTGTACTGTAATAAATATCTATAACGGCCAAAAAAAACTTACAACAGTGATGGGTTTCAGTTATCTTTGTCGAGCCTAAGCAAAAGCTCGTCATCAATGATGAGCCTAATAGTTATCTCAACCGGGCCTTAAGTTAGAGCCCGTCACCAATGATGGACATCGGTGACGGGCTTCTATTAGGGCCCACAAAGATATCATCGGTTATCTTTGTCGGGCCTTAAGTTGGAGCTCATCACCGATAGGTGTCATATGTGACGGGCTCGATTTCTATGCATATCTAACATGTCTATGCGAGTATATCTTTGTCGGTCTCTTTTTTTTGGGCCGTTTGAGATGAATTCATTGTGACGGCCTGCAAAACTCAAACATGTGAGGGGCCGTCATAGATGAGATGATATGTATAATGTAAATATAGTTATTAGCTTAAAAAAATAGGAGAAGATATAGAGTAGGAGGGTTGGAGGGTGGCCGGATAGAGAGAGTACGTACGTACTTGCCCACAGTGGGGGTGAGGCTACCTTGTGTTTTTGGGACTATCTATAAATCTATAAATCTGTTGACATATTTTTTGGCAAAAAAATAATAATCAGCTTTTTAGCCCTTGGATTTCACAGATCAACGGTTGATCAACATGTTAGCGTGCGTTGACAATAATTATTTGAAAGTTAGAGTCAACCGTACGTACTGCTAAGAGCATCACCAAGAGATTGACAATGATCAATTCTC